CACAGCAGTTAAGACAAGCGTGTCCTATATCCAGACGTCAGGGTTTGAGTCTGGGTTCTGCCTGATTCCAGCTCCCTGCTAATGTGCACCCTCAGCAGGTGATGGCTAAAGTACCTGGGTCCCTGCCACCCATGTGGGAGACTCAGATTGAGTTCCAGGCTCCTGGCATCAGCCTGGCCCAACCTGGCCCAGCCCCACCCAAGCTGTTGCAGCCATTTGAGGAGTGAACCAACAGGCAAAAGACCTCCCTTTCTGTCCCTCTGTCTGCCTTACAAAGGAATTTTAAAAAACATTTAAGGGCCAGCACCATGGTGTATCTGGGAAAGTTACCACTTGAGACACTGGCAGCCCAAATTAGAGTGCTACATCGAGTTCCAGCTGCTCCACTTCAGATCCAGCTCCCTGCTAATTCATGTGGGAAAGCAGATGATCCAAGTGCTTGGACCCCTGCCACCCATGTGGGAGACCCAGATGGAGTTCCAGGCTCCTGGCTTCAGCCTGGCCCAGCCCTGGCCATTGTGGCCATTTTGGGAGCGAACCAGGGAAGATCTCTGTGTCTTTCCCTTTCCATTACTCTGCCTTTCAAATAAATAAAAAATCATTTTAAAAAATACTTACAGCTGGGGCCAGTGTTGTGTCATATAGCTGGTAAAGCTGCCGCCTGCAGTGCTGGCATCCCATATGGGCACCAGTTTGAGTCCTGGCTGTTCCTCTTCCAATCCAGCTACCTGCTGATAGCCTGGAAAGGTGGTTGAGGATGGGCCAAGTCCTTAGGTGCCTGCACCCAGGGAGACCTGCAAGAAGCTCCTGGCTCCTGGCTTCAGAGAGGCCTAGCTCCAGCCACTGCGGCCATTCAGGGAGTTAACCAGTGGACCGAAAACATCTCTCTCTCTCTCTCTCTCTCTCTCTCTCTCTGCCTCTGCCTCTCTGTATCTCTGCCTTTCAAATAAACAAATCTTTAAAAAAACATAAAGTTGGGACCTGCGCTATGGCAGTGGGTTAACGCCCTAGCCTGAAGTGCCGGAATCCCATATGGGCGCCAGTTCAAGACCTGGCTACTCCACTTCCAATCCAGCTCTCTGCTGTGGCCTGGGATAGCAGTAGAGGATGGCCCAGGTCCTTGGGCCCCTGCACTCACGTGGGAGAGCCAGAGGAAGCTCCTGGCTTCAGATCGGCACAGCTCCGGCCATTGCAGCCAATTGGGGAGTGAACCAGCGGATGGAAGACCTCTCTCTCTCTCTCTGCCTCTGCTCCTCTCTCTGTGTAACTCTTTCAAATAAATAGATCTTTAAAATATACATAAAGTTGTATTAGTATTCAAATTCATTCTTCCAGATATGCAATGGTACCTTTTGGTCCCCCATCAGTAGACCATAGAAATAGATGACTTCACACTACTCCAGAGATGACCTTCTTGATAAAATCAAGGAACAGGGCTGGGGCTGGCACTGTGGCATAGTAGGCTACACCTCTGCCTGCAGCTCCAGCACCCCATAGGGGCACCGGTTTGAGTCCTGGCTGCTCCACGTCCGATCCAGCTCCCTGCTAATGCTCCTGGGGTAGCAGTGGAAAATGGTCCAAATGCTTGGGCTCCTGCACTCATGTGGGAGACGATGAAGCTCCTGCCTCCTTGCTTTGGCCTGGTCCAGCTCTAGCTACTGTGGCCATTTGGGAAGTTAACCAGCAGGTGGAAGACCTCCTTCTGTGTCTCTCCCTCTCTTTCTCTGTAACTCTGCCTTTCAAATAAAATAAATCTTTAAAAAAAAAATTAAAAAAAACAGGGATTTCCTTCTTAGGAGGGTCACTGGCCTGTATTTTCCTGGGCTCCCCTCACCACAGGTTTATCAGAACTTTTGATTTTTACAGATCATTCAGGAGATCTGGGTCCTAGGGAAAAAAAAAGTTATTAATTATTCAAACTCACATAAAACTGACTTGTAACAAGAGCTCTTTTCTGATCTTTGGTGTGAAACAGCTCCCCTGCTAGTAAGCAGCTTCCGAGAAACTAGGAGGTAGTCAGTTGCCACTGAACAGAGGGCCACCTGGGACAAGGTCCCTTCTTCCCCAGCCATGAAACAGCCCCCTAAATTTCTCAGTGCATAGCACTCCTGCAGTACTCCACATTGCCCTCTGCTGGGAGACAGCACAGACAGCAGTAAGGGCCCAGATTCATGACATGAGTTTGAGTCCCAATCCTGCCATTCCAGGCTCTAGGCCTCAGCCAATCCACTTCATCTTGCCAAGCCTGTATTTCTCATCTGCAAAACAAGTAACGCTTCACAACATTGTTGGGAGAAGTAAAATACACAGAAAATGCCAGCAGTCTGCCTCGTAGCAGGCATTTGACCCACAGTCGTGATTTTCCTTTTGTTTACAGCAATGTTCCTGATTAAGGAACACTGGATTTAAATCCGGAAGGCCTCAGTTTGATTCCCAATTCTGCCTTTTAACATTCTGGCGGGGGGTGGGGGGTGGGGGTGGGGGTGGGGGTGGTGAATCTGTTTCTTCTCCCCAGAGATCCCCCTCTGATTTGTGTGGCAATAATAAGTTCAGTCTCATTAGCTGATTGACATACCTCATATATTTTTTTTCTTTGTTTAAGATTTATTTATTTATTTGAAAGGTAGAGCTAGAGAGAGAGAGAGAGAGAGAGAGAGAGAGAGATCCTCCATCTGCTGATTTACTCCCTAAATGGTCACAATGGCTGGGGCTGGGCCAGGCCAAAGCCAGGAGCCAGGAGCTTCTTCCATGTCTTCCATGTGGATGCAGGGGCCCAAGCACTTGGGCCATCATCCACTGCTTTCCCAGGCACATTAGTAAAGAGCAGGATTCAGAGTGGAACAGCCGGGACTCGAACCAGCACCCATATAGGATGCTGGCATTGCAGGTGGCAGCTTTACCCAGTATACCACAACATTGGCCCCACCTCATATACTGTCCCAGAACCAGGGACGACTGACTGCTTCTGATCTCGATTCTGTCTTCCACTCCCCCTCTTTTTCCTTAGAGGATCTACTACAGGTAAACCAGTCAAGTGACTAGAAAGCTCCTTTCAGGGAACAGGATGAGGAGACAAAGAATTTTGCATTAGTACATCTGTATTGAAGTTCTGTTTCCAGGTTCTAAGTGTCACTAAGTATAGGAAGAGATCAAGTTTTTTAGTTTTACTTGGGAGCACTCATGGCCTTACCACATATCTGAATATTTAAAATTATTAATCCAGAAATTGACTTGCTTCTTTACCTGTTTGGCATCTTCTCAAAGTTGAAAGCACAGAATTATCAAAGCTAGGAAGATAACTGTGAGACTGTGGATCTTTGTATTTTGTCCACAACCACCTAGAAACAACAACAGTCATAACATGCCTCACCTTTAGAGGGAGCTAGGTGGGGAAGTAAGGAAGCCTATTACTAATAGTTCAGCTTGATGTCCTCTGACACTTTTCCAGGATACCAGAATCCTGACTTTAATGCATTCATAAACAGATCACTTCTAGAGTCTGAAGCCCCCCACTTTTTCCAATGTAGCTGGACACACACATACACATACACACCCAATTCCAGGTTAAGACATGTGTGAGGTACTCCTCCTTGTGTTGAAACTAATGGATTAATATAATGAAACGCTATTTCCAGTCTTTCATTCACCATTTACACTCACCCGCTATGTGTCCAGATACAGATACCATTAAGGAAACACGTAAGTGTAGTCACTCAGGTTTAATGATCCCATGGTTTGTTATTATGATTTGAACATATCACCTTTGTTCCATAAAGCCTGCTCATTGTGGACAATCCAGGTCACCTAGCCTTCCATTCAGAACATTCAACCCAAGCCTTCTACAACCCAAAACCCCACAAAACAGACCACCATGGCGAAAGAGACGTTGTTAGTCCAGTTATTGGCGAAGCATTAATCTTCAGGGTGCTAAGACCTTTTTAACCAGGGAGAGGAAATGGGAGAAAAGGAAATAATGGGAGGATTGAGTTTTCTGAGCACCTGCTTTCTAGACTGCCTAAGTAACAAGTCGCCTTTCCTTAAAGAGCAGGATTAATCTATTTATAACCAGCACTACATGACTCTCATGCCAGAAAGGACCCCAGCCCAGCTTCAGCTGGACTTCGACCACTTCCTCCTAGGGTCTCCACAGTCTTCCAGAATCTTCTACTGCAAACCCTCCTCCTTTTCCCTCTCCCCACAGAGGCAGAAACAGCTGGGAGCAAATCCCAGGGTGAACTCCTGGCATCCAGGCAGGACCAGAGCGTACCATTTGGATGCCCTCCCCATTGAGAAGCTAGGATTTTATATCTTAAAGAAAGTTCAACACTGAGAAGACAGTGAAGTCATTCACTCACAACCTCAGGTCAAGCAAGAGATCTATTTTAACCCTCCCCTGGCCAAAAGCAGGTCACTTTACATAGACTGCCAAGGCAGTGCCTAGGCCCTTACTAAACCAAGCTTCCTAGTTCCAAGATGAAATCATTATTGACCCTTTGGACTAGCAATCTGTCACCATTTCCAAACTCCTGGTCCCTTTCCACACTGGCTTTAGGTCCCCAGAGAATTGGGGCAGCAGTGGACCACATTCAGAATGTGATGACGAGTAAACTGTCACTGTGCATGTTTAGAAATTAACTGATCTCCCTTTGGAGTCACATTCACTCCTAGCTCTGAACTAGGAGCATAGTATTTTTAAAAACATCTTATTTTAAAGATTCGCACCCTTCCCTGACTCTTGCACTCTTAGTCCTAACCTTACCTCCCTCTTCCCCTCAGATACACACCAACAGAAGCTCAACCTCTCCAGGATCTCTAGGGCCCCGGGGCAAAGCAGCATTAATGGCATTTGGCAGAAGACCCCGCCCCACACTGAAGAGTCCTCCCAGTTCAACACAGTGAAGACACGGATGAGAATGGGAGGGAAGCAGCAGTAGAAACCAGAGCCTGCCCCTTCCCACATAAGAGAGGCACAGAAATGTCAAGAGTTAGTGAAAACGGTATCATCTCTTGCCAGAGGGCCACCAGCTACCGCTGGCTGGGAGCCGCATTATTGCTTGTTTCTCCTCTGGACTGAAGTGCAAGATAGTCAGGATGGCCGTGAGCGTCTGCTGGCGGCCCAGGCTGTCGGGCAGGGTCAGGAAGCGGTAGATGATGTTCTTGAGGTACTCCAGGTTGGCGCCCTCCCTGCTCTGGTCCCTGGTATTCTTTTCAATGTGGCTCTGCAGGGCTCCCACCTCCTCGCGGTGTCGCTCCCCCTCTTCCAGCAGCCGGTCCTGCAGCTGATGCACCTCCACCTCCAGCCTGTGTTTCTGCTTCTTCAGCGACGTGATCTCCACCTCCTTGCGGGCCAACTGCTCGGCGTACAGGAAGAACGTGGGCTCGTTGCCCGCAGCAAGCTGCAGTGCTTGGGTCAGGCTATCTGGGGCAGACGGGTCGGCCGGGTCCCCTGGAGCCCCGGCCCCCACCGGGCTTCTGCGCCCTGGCAGCCCAGAAGACAAGGCCACGGCGCGCAGCTGCTCCAGCTCCAGGTCCTTCTCGGCCAGCACGGCCAGGGCCCGGTCCCGCTGCTTGTGCAGCTCCTCCTCCAGTTTCAGCGTGCGGTCCCTGAAGTCCAGCCGGCTGCGCTCCAGCTCGTGCCGGTGCAGCTGCTGCAGCCGGGCCAGCTCCTGCTTCCAGGCCTCTGCCTCCCCCTGGTGCTGCCGCTCCAGCTCCTCACACGACAGCCGCAGGGAGATGTACTTCTCCTTCAGCTCGGCAAGCTGCTCCTGGGCGGCCTCCAGCTCCTTCGCCACGTTGCCATCTTTGGCGTTCTTGCTCTTGAGGACAACCTGGGCCCTCATCTTATACCGTTCGAATTCTTCCTTCAGCTGCTTCAGCTCCTGCTGGTAGTAGAGCGCAGAAGCCTTCTCCCCATCAGTGGCGTCTGAGCTGCCCACCGTGTCCAGGTCACAGAGCTTCTCCACATCCAGGGTCACCTGGCTCTTCCTGGCGGCCACCTGCAGCAGCCTCTTCAGCTTCTCCATCTTATCCCTGAGGACGTTGACGTCCAGGCTGGACTCCTCCCCGTGGCTGTCTAGAGGGGACCGGCTGGAGGCTGCCAGGGCCAGGGTCTTGTTCTCCAGGTCCAGCTGCAGAACGCGCTCCTTCAGCTTCTGGATGGCCAGCTGGTCCTTCTGCTTTGCCTTCTCGTACGTGCCCAGCAGCTCAGACACCTCAGATATCTGATTCTCCAGGGACGCCACCCTCTGCTCTTCCACCTGAGACTGCTGGCGGAGCTGATCTTCCGCAAGGGCTGTCTGCCAAAGACAAGACCAGAATACGGTCAGAAAAGTCACAAAGCCCCATGGCAAACTTTGTGTGCGTGTGTCCGGGGAGGAGGGCGACCGAGGGGAGCGTTTGGGGATTTTTCCGTTGATGCAGGATCCAACAGAAGTTCCTCTACCTGCTTGGGTTCTGCCCCCAAATACATATCATCTCAAACGATATGAAGCACCTCTGCACACCTGCTGTCACTCTGCTTTAGCGCTTCCACTTTCTCCTATCAGCTCACACCCAGCTTTGCTGTCTATCATATGTCACCTCACCCCGAACCCTATCATGAAATTACAGGACTTTGCTTTTCTCTTTCTCTATTCCTGGAAGTACAAAACTGAGTTGGATCTCCCTCCACCTGGACAGCAGACACTGTCATGACAGACAAACCTTGACAGAAAGCAATTACCATGGTTTATTTCTTCTGGGAAAATCCCTCTAGCTGCCTTCAGCTACCCTGCCCATGGGTACACAGCTACAGGCACACACTCGCTCTTTCACTGCACAGCGGCCGCTCGATGGCAGCTCGGAGAGCAGCTGGTACAGTGCCAACGCCCAGCAGCTCAGAGGGGCCTGGCTCCGACCCAGCCTAGGCTCGGAAACTCCACATCCTGTTGCAAGCACACTCCCAGGAGCTGGTCAACACCACCGCAGGAAAGGCTTTTCCAGGGCTCCCTGGTGCAACTTTTCAAGTAGCAGCAAAAATGACAGTGCAGCCACTTAGTTCTAAGTACCAAAGGAGGAGGGAAAAACAAAACCCCTCTTATCTCGCACTTCAAGCGAAATGACGGATATGTGAAGGAGATGAGGATAATTACCTTTCTCATTTCCTGCTGCAGCTGAGCCTGGAAATGGCTCTTGAGGCGAGCGGCCTCTTCCTGAAGCTCTTGGAGCCGGGGGTCCGGTCGATTCTTCTCCTCTCGGATGGCCTGCAGTTCACCTTTCAGCTCCTCCACCTGCCGGCTCAGCTGCTTGGTCTGCAGTTCGAAGCCTTCCATCTGCTCGGCTGCATAGGCCCGCCCGGCCAGGGCTTCCCGCGTCTCTTCCAGCCGAAGCTCCAGGTCCTGACGCTGGGTCCTCTCCTCCTGCAGCAGCTTCTGGAGCTCCCGGAGCATCAGGGCATGGTCACTCTGCTCCTGGGCCCTATCATGCTGCTGCGTGATCAGCCGGGCTTTGGTTTCGGCTATCTGCTCCTGCAGCCCCTTCAATTCTCCCTCCAGGCGGCCCCTCTCCTCTTCCGCCTTCTTATTGGCATCCTCTAGGTCCTGTTTCATCTTCTTCTTGTCGGCCAGGTAAGAAGCCTCCATGCGGGACTTCTCCTGGGTGACTGTAGCCAAAGAGCTGGTCAAAGTAGCCAGCTGAGTCTTCAGCTGGTGCAACCTCTTGTCCACCTCCCCACCTGCAAACGGCCCATCCCCACTGCTGCTGCTAACGCCGCTCTCCGACCCACTGGCCTCTTCCGACTTCGCAGGCGGTGGTCCGCGGGCCGGTCTGTCATCTTCTACCCCAAACTCACCCTTGATGCTGCTCAGACTGGCCGCAGTGTCCAGGCTGGTGGCGGTGCCGGTGCTATCCTCGCTGTGAGTGGAGCACCGGTCATCCACAGAGTCAGAGAAGGTGAGGCCTGGAGGCTGGACACCTGCGAGGCCCACATCCGCCTCGTGGGATACCGACAGCACCTTGATGCTGGCCTCCAGCGCCTCCTTCTCCTTCAGCAAGCTTTTGTAGGCGCGGACCACGTCCTTGAGCCTGGCCTGGTACTGGAGGAGCTGCTTCTTCTGAGACTCGATGGTTTCCAGCAGGTCCTTCTTGCTCGGGCCGCCCCCAAAATTCATCCCAAACTTCTCCATGGGGGCTGTGACCGAGCTGCTCCACGTCAGCGTTCCAGCAGTCCAGGAGAGCGACGAGACGACGCGGGCGGAGCCAGCAGGCGACGAGGAAAAGGTTGTCCCGCCGCGGCCGCACAGCTGCTCCACAGAGGTGTCCAAGCCCGGATGCGGGGTGGCGGGGCCGCCGGACAGAGGCCAGGGGGGCGGGAGCGGGTCCGCTCCTGGAGGCGGGGCGACGCTGGCGCGACAGGAGCTCCCGGCCTGGGAGCGCCCGCGCTAGCCTCGAAGCTGCTCCGCCCTCTCCGCTCCTCCGGGCCTCATCGGCCCGGCCCCGGCCGGCCCCCTCGGCCCACGGTTGGCTACAGGTTTATGCCGCGGGTGGCTCCATCTCGACTTCTTAACTACCGCAACCGGCCGACCACAGAGCTTCCGGGTCCGCAGGAAGTGACGCCAGCGCGTCGCCCTAGGCTCCGCCCCTACCGGCCGCGAGGTGGGCGGGGCTCCTTTAACTGTGGGTGGGAGCCGGCCCCGGAGAAGTGCCGCCGGGAACCGCGGGGGCCGGGGCTTGCGGAGAGCGAAGGAAAGGAAGTTGAGGACCAGAGAGCGCAGTTGGTTTGCCCTTGGGCTGCGATCCGCGACCGACAGGGGGCGACGTTGCACTGCATTCTTAACAAACACTCCAGTGACCCATGCGTCCAGCAACAAGGACTTGGGGCTCAGGACCTGTGTCCCTAAAGGCCAACAATAAATGTTCCAGTTAGGGCTACGAACACTGCAGCCCTTCCTAACACGGCACGTGGCACCTAGCTGGCCTATGGAATGCACATGGCACCTTACCATAGTTCCGTTGAGTTTAGTCAACGAATATTGATAGAGGACACCCTGCCGCCATGAGGTTCATCCTGAATGCGAACTATACGCCGGGAACCTCACAAGAAAATTGTTATTTATGGGCGGGCATTGGGGCACAGAAGCTTAAGCGGCCGCTTGGGATACCCGCATCCACTATGTGAGTGCAGGTTGAGTCCCCGCTTCTTCGCTTACCACCCAGTTTCCTGCTAATGCCCTTCTGGAAGGCAGCAGAAAGTAGCCCAGGTCGCTGGGTCCCTGAGACCTGGATAAGAGTTCCTGGCTCCTGGCTTTGGTCTGACTGGTTCCTGGCTGTTGCAGGCATTTGGGGAGTGAAGCAGCAGATGGAAAAATCTTTCCCTTCTCTGTCTCTCCCTCTAGGTCACTTCGCCTTTCGAAGAAAGGAAGGCAGGAAGCAGGATTTTGCTATTTATTCTCCTGTGCAGATACATTAGCACTGTTTTACAGATGGGACATAAGGCACAGAGGTAAAGTAAGGGGCGGCGCTGTGGCATAGCAGGTGATGCTGCCCATTAGAATCCTGGCTGCTCCACTTGAGATCCAGCTCCCTGCTAATGTGCCCACACTCACGTGGGAGACCCAGGAAAAGTTCCTGGCTCCTGGCTTCTCATCAGCCCAGCTCCAGCCATTGTGGCCATGTGGGGAGTAAACCAGTGGATGGAAGACCTCTCTCTCCTTGTCTCTACCTCTCTCTCTCTCTCTCTTTTTTTATTTGGCAGAATTACAGACAGTGAGAGAGGGACAGAGAGAAAGGTCTTCCTTCCATTGGTTCACTTCCCAAATGGCTATGATGGACAGAGCTGTGCCCATCCGAAGCCAGGAGCCAGGGCTAGCCTCCACTGCTTCCCCAGGCCACAGCAGAGAGCTGGACTGGAAGAGGAGCAACTGGGACTAGAACCGGCACCCATATGGGATGCCGGCACCACAGGCGGAGGATTAACCTAGTGAGCCACAGCGCTGGCCCCGTAACTCTTTCAAATAAAATAAATTTTAAAAAAAAATAAAAAAGGAACTCAGAATCAAGTGAGAAAACAGACATGCAAAGAAGTCCTGCTATCATACCAGGACGAGTGGGTATATTCAAAATGCAAGGGAAGAGACGGGAGCCCTGTCTAGGGAATGCACAGAGGGCTCTCAGGGAAACCTCTGGAATTTGAAAGACAAGCAGGGACAAAGGAAACCAGCACTTGGGGCAGGTGGGAAAGTTCCATCAAGCTCTGGGGCATCAGTGTCTGACTCACCTTGAAGAGCCATCTTCAAGGCAGTAGCTGAGGACATGTGGAGGTGACAACAGTAGGTGACAACCCAACCAAAGGCATTTAGATTTTATCATAGGTAGTATTAAATGAGAGGACTTTAAGCTGAAGAGCAAGGCATTATCAAACATTATCAAGACTCCTATGATAGGGCCAGCTGGTGGGACGTTGGGCTAAGCAGCCATCTTCAGTGCCGGCATCCCATATGAGTGCTGATTATAGTCCTGGCTGCTCCACTTCCAATCCAGCTGCCTGCTAATGTGCTGGGAAAAGCAGAGCGGAAGATGGCCCAAGTACCTAGGCCCCTGCCACCAGATAGAGGTTTGTTTTTGTTTTTTGTTTTGTCTTTTGTTTTGTTTTGTTTTGTTTTTTGACAGTCAGAGTGGACAGTGAGAGAGACAGAGAGAAAGGTCTTCCTTTGCCTTTGGTTCACCCTCCAATGGCTGCCGCGGCCGGCGCGCTGCAGCTGGCGCACCGCACTGATCCGATGGCAGGAGCCAGGTACTTCTCCTGGTCTCCCATGGGGTGCAGGGCACAAGCACCTGGGCCATCCTCCACTGCACTCCCTGGCCACAGCAGAGAGCTGGCCTGGAAGAGGGGCAACCAGGACAGAATCCGGCGCCCCGACCGGGACTAGAACCCGGTGTGCCGGCGCCGCAAGGCAGAGGATTAGCCTGTTGAGCCACGGCGCCGGCTCAGATGGAGTACTCCTAGCTTTGTCCTGGCCCAGCCCCAGCCATTGCAGCCATCTGAGGAGTGAACCAACAGATGGGAGATCTCTCTCTCTCTCTATCCCTCCTCCCTCCCTCCCTTCCTCTCCCTCCTTCCCTCCCACTTCCCCCCTCTACTCTGCCTTTCAAGTAAATAAAAATAAATCTTTCTTTGAAAACATTAATCTCCTCCCATGACAGTGTGAAGAGGCTTTCATGGGGAAGAGGTGGTAATGACACAGGGCAGTGACAAAAGAGATGCAGAGAAAGAAGATTAAAGAGCTAAAGACCTGGAACTGATCGGACTTGGCGACCACCAGTTGTGTTATTACATTGGGCCTCTTTTAAATGTACTTTTCAACCTTGGAAAAGCCTTCTTAGGAATGTAAGTCATAAAAAACAGTCATGGGGCCAGTGCTGTGGCATAGTGGGCTAAGGCTCTACCTGCAGGGTCCCATATGCGTGCTGGTTCTAGTCCCAGCTGCTCCTCTTCTGATCTAGCTCTCTGCTATGGCCTGGGAAAGCAGTGGGGAAAAAAAAAAAATGGTCATGCACTCACTGATACCTGGTTCCCAAAGTCTGTTCTCATTACAGGTTCAAGGTCAAGCCAGGACAGCCCAGGGAGATCTAATCAGACCCAGCCTGCGCTGCACAAAGCCATCAGTTATATTATCTCCTGTTTGTTAGGACAACTATTAATTTTTTTTATTTTTTTTTATTTTTTTTATTTTTTTTATTTTTGACAGGCAGAGTGGACAGTGAGAGAGAGAGACAGAGAGAAAGGTCTTCCTTTGCCTTTGGTTCACCCTCCAATGGCCGCTGCTGCAGCCGGCGCACCGCGCTGATCCGATGGCAGGAGCCAGGATCCAGGTGCTTTTCCTGGTCTCCCATGGGGTGCAGGGCCCAAGCACCTGGGCCATCCTCCACTGCACTCCCTGGCCATAGCAGAGAGCTGGCCTGGAAGAGGGGCAACCGGGACAGAATCCGGCGCCCTGACCGGGACTAGAACCCGGTGTGCCGGCACCGCAAGGTGGAGGATTAGCCTATTGAGCCACGGCGCCGGCCAGGACAACTATTAATTAGGACAAATGCAAGTCTCCTTCTATAGAGAAAATGATAAGGATCATTGAAGCCAAATCCTGAAAACTAGAAGAACTGGGATTTGAACTACGCCCTGAAACAGTGCCGGAACATAGTAGACACCCAACAGCTGTTGAATGAGTGACTACATGGATGAAGGTTTCCTGGTTCCTAGCTCAGCTCCACTCTAGTCCATAAACCACTGATCACAAAAGTCCACTGGGAATGCAGAGGAGCCAAAACGCCTGCCCTTGCTCCGCTGAGCAACCTATCAGCCCAGTTCAACCCCAAAGCACCTGTCTGGCACTGACCCAGCCCCCACCACGGAAGAAGTTAATTAACTCCTAGCTTACTGTTGTCCTCAGATGCTAAAAACGAGAGGGAAAATTACATAGGAAGCTCTTAGGGTCTAGGGAGGCAAGGTCTTCACACAGCCCCCGGGGTGGGTGTGCATCCATAATCCAGGTCCGCAGATAGAGGCTGCCTGGTCCCAGAGGGCGAGGCGGTGTTCCGGGGGAGGGCTGTGGCGAAGGTGGAGTCCTCCAGTGGTCCCGGAGAGCCTGGCCAAGACCGGGACGCATCCACGGGTCCTACGGTCTGCGGAGGTGTGAAGCAGGTTTAAGGCCGGCGCTTGGGCAACTTCCTCGTCCACTCCCGTGCGCTCCTCCCACGGCTTCCAAACCACCTACTACGCGCAAAATCCCTCAGCGGGCGCCCGGACTGGAGGGGGGGAAGTGCATAGAAAAGGCCGAAGCCCCCAGAGAGCGACACCGGTGCCCAGAGCGAGCTGGATGCAGCGATTCGAGGGTGGGCCGGAGGCCCGCGGTGGAGCGACCAAACCTTTCCCTATCGGCGCTCGGGCTGACAGCGCCACAGGCCTGACAGCGCGCTGGAAACACGCGAGCCCCAGGCCCGCGCGCCCCGGCCAGGCTGCGGAGCCCCGCTCGGGTTCGGTTCCTCCCGGAGTCGCGGGCTGGGGGCGGGGCCCGGCGGGGCGGGCCTGCGGTGACGTCGCGCGGGCCGGGACGCGCGGAGGCGGCGGCGGCGGCGGCGCCTCCTCCTGCTGCTGTTGAGCCCCATCCCCCCGCGGCCGGCCGGTTCCAGCCCGCACCCCGCGTCCGTGCCCGCGCCCCCGCCCCCGGGCCCCGCCATGGGCCTCACCGTGTCCGCGCTCTTTTCGCGGATCTTCGGGAAGAAGCAGATGCGGATCCTCATGGGTGAGGCAGATCGACCCAGCGGCCCGGACCAGGGCGCCGGCCGCGGCGCAGCCCTCCTGCCCCCGCGTCCCTGCAGCCCGGCCCACCTGGGTCTCTGACCCGGAGTCCTCCCCCACTGCCACCGCCTAACGCACTGGGGGCCCCTGCGCTCGAGCGGGTCCTGGCCTGCAGCGCCAGCCCCGAGGCCCGAGACCCCGAGCTGCCGGCCTGGGTGGGTGCTGCTCCCTCCGCCCCAGCCCGGCTGGGAAGAAGGGAGGATTCCGCCCTTGGAGACGACTTTTAAAAGGAGCGCGGCCTTCCTCGCATGTCCCTGGCCGCCCAGGCCTCTCACGCCCCCGGCCCACTTTGGGGGCAGGAGTTGGCGCACGCACCCCGACTGCCCTCCAGGCCCGAAGGTGGGGAGCGGCGCGCACCTGCAGGCGCTCGCGCCCTCCGCCCGTCACCGCCCGCTGGCCCGGGCTCTCGGCTCCCCGGTCTCTAGGGGGCCCCCTCGCTCCCGCCTCCATCCCTGTACTCTTCCCCGTTGCAGTTGGCTTGGATGCAGCCGGCAAGACCACAATCCTGTACAAACTCAAGTTGGGGGAGATTGTCACCACCATCCCCACCATAGGTGAGCGCGGGGGCGACGCGGGGGAGGCCGTGCCGGGCCTTCTCAGGGTCTGCTCATCGGGTGTCCTGCCTCGGGCCCTTATCTGGAGCTCACCCTGAAACCAAGCCGGCTACCTGAGAAGTGGGTCAGGGTGTCTCTGCGTGTGGGATGGTGTCGGGGCGGGGTGGTGACCCAGGCCCGCCCCCCACCCCCCGCCGCTTGACTGCTGGGTCCCTTGGGGTCCCGTTCCCTCGGGCCTTGTTCACTGATCGCCTTTTGGTTTTGTGTCCCTGCTGAGATCCAAGTAGTTCTAGTGAGTTTCTTCCTTTCAGAACTTTTTCTCGTATTTTTTTCCCCCAATGATCTGTAGGCTTCAATGTGGAAACAGTAGAATACAAGAATATCTGTTTCACAGTCTGGGACGTGGGAGGCCAGGACAAGATTCGGCCCCTGTGGCGGCACTACTTCCAGAACACTCAGGTGGAGTGGGCTGGGGGCGGGTGCGGGGTGGGTGGGCGAGTGGGAGTTGGAGAGACGGAGAAAGTCCGGGCTACGCCAGCGAGCTAGGAAGAGCCCCTTCCCCAGTTTGACCCGCTTGGACTGGCTAGCCGCAGCGCATCCATCCCAGTCTGCCTCATTCATTTTCTGAAACTTAGCCACCTGACACTTGTGCAGAGAGGCAGGGTTCCCCGGGGCCACGCTACGCGATCCCAGGGCCACACTGAGCGATCCCACTCCCATCGCGGGTCGGTGCCTGGGACAGAAGCTGGATCCTTTGCAGTGCTGCCACTAGTTTATGTCAGGATTTGTGCGGGGCGGAAGTTACTAGTTGCTGAGAAGGGTTGACAGAGGTGGGTTGGGAGAAAGGGCCAGACCAAGGAGGAAGGGCCAGACTAGACTCCAGGTGGGACTGAGTGCGTTCCCTCCCTCTCCTGCTCTCTGCCCCGCCCCTCAGGGCCTCATCTTCGTGGTGGACAGTAATGACCGGGAGCGGGTACAGGAATCGGCGGATGAGCTTCAGAAGATGGTGAGGATCCGGGGTCCCTGAGCCCCCCAGCTTGGGGACACAGATGCCTGTGTTAGTGTGGAAGTCAGGAGTGCCCGGTGGAGCTGTCTGGGGTAGTGGGGGGTGGGGGAGGGAGGGCCAGGAACCCGACTTTCTTTTTATGCGCTCCGATATGTTGTGTGTCTTACCAGGTTCGGGATAAGGCTGACTTACCTGAGTCCCATGCCTTTACACCCAGCCCTGAGGAGAGGGTGGGGAAAGAGGGCTTCTAAGCGTCCCCTTATGCTCTTGCTCTTTCCATTTGGAATCATACGATAGTATGTTTTTCCCGCAAAGAGGGCAGGAGGGAAGAGAGAGCTTGGGGCCCCCACGGGCCCACGGGTTCCTCCTCTGTCCTCTGCTCTCAGCTACAAGAAGATGAGCTGCGGGACGCCGTGCTGCTGGTGTTTGCCAATAAGCAGGACATGCCCAATGCCATGCCCGTGAGCGAGCTCACCGACAAGCTGGGGCTCCAGCACTTGCGAAGCCGCACGGTGAGAGCCCAACCCCCTTGCTCCACATCCTGCCCGTCCCTGGGGCGTCACAGGCACCCTGCCGCTGACCTCTCTCCTTTCTTCCCCCTTACAGTGGTACGTGCAGGCCACCTGTGCCACCCAGGGCACGGGCCTGTATGATGGGCTGGACTGGCTGTCTCATGAGCTGTCGAAGCGCTAACCAGCCAGGGGCAGGCCCCTGCTTCCCGGAAGCTCCCGCGTGCATCCCGGGGGTGACCAGACGCCCGGACTCCTCAGGCAGTGCCCTTCCCTCCTTCTTTCCTCCCCCACAGACACAGGCCCCTTGTTCCTGCTCCTGCCTGCATGTTCTCTCTGTCGTGGAGCCTGGAGCCTCGCTCTCCGGGCACAGAGGGGTCCCCTCTCCTGCCTGCTCGGGCCTGGGGAAGAGCTTCCTGGCCAAGGCCCCCTCTTCCAAAGGAGGAGCAGGGATCTGGGTTTACTTTTGGTTTTTGTTTGTTTGTTTTGTTTTGTTTCTGTTTCGGGTGTACCCTTGGGGCCAGGTTGGGGGGAAGGTGAGGGCTCCGGGTGGTGCTATGGTGTGGCACTGGATATTGAGTAATAAATTTGCTGTGGTTTGTACGTGGTGTCGTCTGTAGTCTAGGAGCGGGAGCTGGGTTACTGGGTGCAGAGAGACCTCAAAGGAGTTTCAAAGCCACAACAACCCCCGTATTCCCACACACCCTTGTCTGACCTAACTTCTCTCCCCTTATTCTTGGACAGGAATACTGTAGGGTATTGAGTGGAGGAAATCTCATTGCCTCTCCAATACCCAGAAGCCTTTGCTGAGGGCACGAAGATCTGCCTTCATGGTTGCTTAAAACACATACCTCTACTTCCTGTCCTTCTGCTAGCTACTTAGAATGGTAGTTCTTTCTTTCTTTCTTTCTTTCTTTATTTATTTATTTGACAGGTAGAGCTATAGACAGTGAGAGAGAGAAAGGTTTTCCTTCCGTTGGTTCACTCCCCAAATGGCTGCTACGGCCGGCGCTGTGCTGATCCCAAGCTGGGAGCCAGGTGCTTCTTCCCAGTCTCCCATGTGGGTACAGGGGCCCAAGCACTTGGGCCATCCTCCACTGCCCTCCCAGGCCGCAGCAGAGAGCTGGACTGGAAGAGGAGCAACCAGGACTAGAACTCAGCGCCCATATGGGATGCTGGAGCCGCAGGCGGAGGATTAACCAAGTGAGCCACAGCACTGGCCACAGAACGGTAGTTCTTAATGACTGCTTTTTTGCACATTAAACTTGAGGGGAAGAAAATGTGCATTAAATACACAGGTCCTGAAGCACACCTCAGAAAAGGGGATTTGTCAGGACTGGTATGAGACCCAACAACAACATGAATCTCTTTTTCTTTCTTTCTTTTCTTTTCTCTTTCTTTTCTTTTTTCTTTTTAATTTGAGAGGCAGATTTACAAACAGACAGGGAGAAACTTAGAGAGAAGTCTTCCCATCTGATGGTTCACTCCCCAAATGGACACAATGGCTGGAGCTGGACCAGTCTGAAGCCAGGAGCTTCTTTCAGGTCTCCCACGCAGGTGCAGGGGCCCAAGGACTTGGAGCATCTTCTACTGCCTTCCCAGGCCATCAACAGAGACTTGGATTAGAAGTGCAGCAGCCAGGACATGAACGAGCACCCATTTAGGATGTTGGCACTGCAGGGGGAGGCTTAGCCTACTATGCCACAATACCAGCCCAGAAAACATGAATCTTAAAAATTACTCAAGAGGGGGCTGGTGTACAGCAGGTTAAACCACCAGCTGCAGTGCTGGGATCCCATATGAGCAACCAGTTCAAGTCCCAGCTTCTCCACTTCCAATCCAGCTCTCTGCTAATGCACCTGGGAAAAGCAGTAGAAGACAGCCCAACTGCTTGGGCTCCTGCCTCCCACATGGGAGAAGCAGAGGGAGTTCCACATTCCTGGCTTTGGCTCACTCTGGCCCAGCCTTGGCTGTTGTGGCCATTTGGGGTGTGGACCAGTGAATGGAAGATAACTGTGTGTGTGTGTGCACACGCGCGTGCACGCATGTGTGTGTGTGTGTATCTCCATCTCTCACTGTGACTCTGCCTTTCGAATAAATCTTTTTAAAGAAATTACCCAAGGAGGAGTGTTCTGTGTGTCCACAATTTCAGCTTGTTGCTACATAGACCCTGGGAGGCAATAGTGATGGCTCAAATAGTTGAGTCCCTGAATTGAGGAAACCTGAATTGAGTTCATTGTTCCTGGCTTCAGCCTGGCCCTGTCCTAGTTGTGAGCATTTGGAGGATGAACCATGCATCACATATGGGAGTGCTGGTTTGAGTCCTGTTACTCTGCTTCCAGTCCAGCTTCCTGCCAATGTGCCTGGGAACACAACAGATGACGGCCAAGTACTTGGGTCCATGCCATCCGCATGGGAGACCTAGATGGAGTTCTAGGTTCATGGCTTCAGCCTGGTCCAGCAAAAACTGTTGTGGACATCTGGAGAATGAAGCAGCAGGTGGAAGATAAGTCTCTCTCACTGACTCTCCTTCTCTGTCACTCTGCCTTTCAAATAAATAAATAAAGCTTTTTAGAAAGGTTCATGCCAAGTGTATTTTTTAAATGTAAAAAAAAATGTAATTACCCAGATGATTCTGGCACTACTAGTCTGTTAGCCTTCTTTTACAAAATACTGGTGGCACCTGGGGATTGCAGGGCCCCTGCTGCACGCCTCTGGGACTTTCTACCTGGGGAGACTCCCAGCTATGGTGAAAGGGAAAGCGATCACAAGGAACCAGCGTTGTGGGCTGTTCTCCAAATGGGGTTGGCTCTATCCGTTTCCCATTGACTCTCAGCAAACTTAAACCCATCATCTCCACCACCATTTCTTTTTTGCCTTCCTCTCTTCTGCCTTCCTGGTGTCCGTTTCCCCAAGTTCTGGACTGGGTTCCCTTTGTGAGCTTTGCAGGGGGAAGAGTTCCAGAAGCAATTACACATGGGCTACGTGGGCGAGGAAAGGCGGGCAGCTCCGGCTGTCCAGCGGGTGCCTGTCCTGCCCAGCAGCAGTGCCTCTGGGCCTGGGGAGGAGGGTCTTCTCGCCACCAAGGCCCTCACCCTGATCCTGAGCCAGCCCTCTCATCAGCCTGAACACTTCAATCCTCCAGCTAGGGTTTCCCCACTCTCCACAAAGCGACTTCTGAGACATTTTAACCTCATCCCCTCAAGGGCCATAATGGCTGATAGATATTTCCTGGATATCTTGAATTTTAAAAAATACTTGAGCTACAAAGGAGCCAACAGAACCCACTTCTTAGGGAGGAAAGAGGTTGATTTCTATCCTGCTATCAACAGGAGAAAGAGGTAAGGAAAAGGAGGGACCCGCCTAGTGTCACAGGTTACAGTTCTCATTCATGGTCTTAGCTCAGCCTACCTCAGTGCCCAGAGTGGCATAGGGAGACGAATACTGGAGGCTCTGGACCCTGTTTCCCTGGGTCATGGACTGATGTTGCTGGACCAGCACCTTTTCTTGGGACAAGAGGCAGCCCTCACAGTCACAATGCCCCCGGGTCACAGAGGTGCCAGGCCCCAGGCCAGCCCCTGGTTGGGAAGTTCCCCCTGGGGACGTCTTCTGGTGGGTACTCTAGGCCTTATTGCAGGCCCTATGGCCTGTGAAACCTCAACACTGGGGGGAAGGGTGGGCTGGACAGCGTCATCACCCGTGGGGCTGGCCCCATGGATAAGGTGGAGTGGATACACAGACACCCCAAGGCCGAGGACCTAAGGGTTGGGCTCATCAACTGGGCAGGAACTTACCTCACCTATGAGGCTTACAAGAACTCAGTTACTGCTACTGCGAAGACTTTGGGCAGGCGACAGGTAACAAGATGAACTTGGAACCGGAACCAATTTTTGGCATGGCCAAGCTCTCCCGTGTGTGTGTGTGTGTGTGAGTGTGAGTGTGAGTGTGTGTGTGGCAGTGGAGCTACACTCACAACCTGATCATTTTCCTTGCCTCTGCCACTGTCAGCCCAAGACCTTTCTCTTCCAGGCTTTGGCTCACAAGTCTCCATTGCTTGAACTGCCCTCTATAAACCTATCTATTCCACAGAGGAAGCCTCAACCTTGGCCTTGCTGCCTTGTCCTGCTCTGGCTGCTCCCTACCCTGCACCCCAGCACAGGGCGGCTTTGTCATCACAGAGAGATGGAGAGCCGAGGCTAGAAGGCAGAACTGTGGGCACCTGGGGAAAGTTGGACCAGGGGAGTCAGTGCAAGGCCTATGTTGAGCTTTGAGAATGGGTTCCTTCTAGAGGCCCTAGGCCCCTCTGGGATGGTTTCAGAGTAAGGCAGGAGAGAGTCCTCTTGTTCCTAACAAGGTTGACCACAGCTAAACCAGTTACATCCCGACTATCTGATGCTCCCATCTTCATGCCTGGAGCCTGGGGCCCTGCCTCTTAGAGCTTAGGTCTGCTCCAGCCAAGTTGGCTTGGTGGCCCTTAGAGATGGATTGATTGGCTGAGCCTGCAATCCAAGGCAGCAATGGGAGGAAAAGCGACTCAAGCCAGAACATTTCTTAGAAAATGAGGTATCAAAGGGCAGGGGTGGGGGGTGGGGGCTGGCCTGTTAGCTGGAAGAGGTGAGCACCCAAAACCTCTCCCTATGTCTCCAGTGATGGAGAGGCCCAGAGACCTTTTGACCCCTCTCTTGGTTGGGAGACCCCAGGGCTGACGTGGAAGGGAAGGCAATTGGCCCGGGTGAGGGTGGCAGGGTTCCTCGGTGCAGTCACGGGGCAACACTGATTTTCCTCTTCTCCCCCACAATGGCCCCAGACCTGGGAGCTCCTGGTGAGCAATGAGCACGAGACACAGGCCGTGGTACGGCTGAAGAGCTTGCAGGGCCTCTACCTGCTGTGTGAGACAGACGGCACTGTGTGCCATGGCCGGCCGAGGAGCAGCCACCATGGCTGCTTCCTACTGCGCTTCCACCGGAACGGCAAGTGGACCCTCCAGTGCATCATCTCTGGCCGCTACCTGGAGTCCAACGGCGAGGACGTGTTCTGCAACTCCCGGGTCCTCTCGGCATACCACATGTGGACACCCCGGCCAGCTCTGCATGTCCACGTGATCCTCTACAACCCCACCAGCAACACCTATGCCCGGGCTGACCCTACAGTGGGCCGCATCTGGGTGGATGCAACAATCCCTTGCCTGGAGGAATGTGGGTTCCTCTTGCATTTCCAAGAGGGATGCTACCACTTGGAGACATCGACACACCACTTCTTGTCCCACGTAGACCGCCTAGTCACCCAGCCCTCGTCGCAGACAGCTTTTCACATGCAAGTGCGCCCTGGAGGCCTTGTAGCCCTGTGTGATGGAGAAGGAGGCACGTTATACCCACAGGGCACGCATCTGCTTCTAGGACTGGGCTCCAATCCCCTGAGGGGCGAGGAGTGGTTCATCCTACAGCGCTGCCCAGCCTGGGTCAGCCTCAGATCAAAGACTCGAAGGTTCATCTCAGTCATCTATGGCAAGTTCTGGGCCCAGCACAGCCACAGAGGGAGGGAGGGCCAGTTGTAGAGAAGAGAAAAGTGTGTCTGGGATCATCAAGGATTTCTAAACCTACTACTAAAGAGAATCCTAGGGTCCACAGGGGAGAAAGATAGAAAAGTGGGGATATGGAGGGCCAGCATCATGGTGTAGTATGTAGTAGTCACTGCCTGTGATGCCAGCATCCTATATGGGCACCGATTCCATTCCCAGTTCCTCTATTCCCAATCCAACTCCCTGCTGGTGGCTTTGGAAGGGCAGCAAAAGATGGCCCAAGTCCTTGGACCCATGCACCCATGTCGGAGACCCAGAAGAAGCTCTTGGCTTCTGGCTTTGGCCTGGACCAGCCCCAGCCATTGTGGCCATCTGGGGAGTGAACCAGCAGATGGAAGATTCTCTGTGTGTGTGTGTGTGTGTGTGTGTGTGTGTAACTCTGACTTTCAAATAAATAATTTAATTTAGAAAAAAAAAAAGCAGTAGGGATACAGGCTTTAGGGGAAAGCAGCCTGGGTCTTCCCCAGATTACTATGGTCCAATACATTTGAAGAAGGTTGAGGAAGGAAAGGAAAGGAGTCCCAGGGAAGAAGCATGGAGGATGGGCTGGAACTGAGGGCGAGGACAGACTCGGGCTCGCTCTGACGTGTGCTTGCTCTCCAGATGCTGAGGTGTGTGCTGCCTCTGAGCGCTTGACCTCAATGTCCTTGTTCCAGTTTGAATGTGACAGCGAGAGCCCCACCTTGCAGCTTCGCTCAGCCAATGGCTACTACCTAGCCCAGGTGAGACCTTGGCCTTCTGTGCAAGAGAAACCTTAAGCTCTGAGCTCTCCCTCTCCAGACATACTTTCTCCTTCTTCAAGGGTAGGAGATTAGTTAATGAGGTGAGCTGTGGAGGTCCTTGTCCAAAACCCTCCATTGTCACCCAGTGGCCTCATACTTTAAAAAAAAAAAAAAACTATTGAAGCCTGTAATTTAGATACATTATGTTTTTTATAATACACATATATTATACATTAATTATGTACAGTTGGCCCTCTGTATTTGTGGACTCCATATTGGTGGAGTCAACCCATTGTGGATTCAAAATGTTAGCTAGCCTGTGATGGTTCTGCCCGTACTGAACAGGTACAGGCTTTTATTCTTATAATTATTCCCTAAACAATGCAGTATAACAACCATTTCCATAGCATTCACATTGTATATGGTGCTATAAATAATCTGCAGAGGATAAAGTACAGTGGAGAACATGCGGATTATGTGCAAACACTACTCCATTTTATCCAAGGGACTTGAGCATCCATGGATTTTGATATCCATGGGGTAGTGGAGTGTGGGGTTCTGGAACCAATGTTTTATGGATATCAGGGGATGACTGTATGTTGTAAAGATACTATGTATATACTATGTATGGCAATTGTATGCATATAGTGCACCCTTTTACGTGTGAAATTGAGTGCATTTTGACAAATGCATACACTCATGCAACCATGCCACAAGCAGACCAACTTACAAAATGTTTCCGTCTCCACAGAAATTCCTTCTTGCCCATTTATAATCAGTTTTCCTCCATCTCTGATTCCCTGCTATCACTAATCTGTGTTCTGTCTGATGGATTACATCAGTCCACTCTAGAATTTCAGATACATGGAATCACAGGGTATGGACAGTATTAATGCTTCTTTTGCTTAGTATAATGCTTTTAAGATGCATCCTTGACATTGTATGTATCAGTGTTTATTCCTTTTCATTGATGAGTAGTGCTCTAAAATACTTACTATTATGTATACCAGTGTTCATATAATACTTAAGTATTATAATGCCCTTTTTAAACATAAACATTATTTATCCATTGACTTACTGATCAACGTCTGGGTTTTTTGGGCTATTGTTATGAATAAAGTTTTATTATGAAGAAAGTTGTTATGAACATTCATGTACAAGTCTTTTTGTTCGTCTGTATTTTCCTTTACCTTTGGTGAATACCAAGGGGTAGAATTCCTAGGTCATATGTTAGATGTGAGTTTAACGTTATAATAAAATGTCAGTTTTCTGGCCGGCGCCACAGCTCACTAGGCTAATCCTCCGCCTGCGGTGCCGGTACACCGGGTTCTAGTCCCGGTCGGGGCGCCAGATTCTGTCCCGGTTACCCCTCTTCCAGGCCAGCTCTCTGCTATGGCCCAGGAGTGCGGTGGAGGATGGCCCAAGTGCTTGGTCCCTGCACCCCATGGGAGATCAGGAGGAAGCACCTGGCTCCTGGCTTCGGATCAGCGTGATGTGCCAGCCGCAGCGCACCAGCCGTGGCGGCCATTGGAGGGTGAACCAACTGCAAAAAGGAAGACCTTTCTCTCTGTCTCTCTCTCTCACTGTCCACTCTGCCTGTCAAAAAAAAAGTCAGTTTTCTAAAGTGACTATATAATTTTATGCTCTTGCCAGTGATATATGAGGGTTCTAATTGCTCCTTGTCTTCCCCTACACTTGTTATGGTATGTATTTTTAATGTTAGTCACTCTAATGGATATATATTATTGTATCTTACTGTGACTTTAATTTGCATTTATCTTGTCTTTTGTCATTTTTAGTAGCTTTTCATGAACTTTTTTGGCTCTTCATATATTTTCTCTTGTAAGATGTCTGTCCAAATCTTTTCCCCATTTGTCACTGAGTTGTTTGTCTTATGATTGATTAGTTCCTTGTATGTTCTAAATTCAAGTCCTTTACCAAATACATGCCTGGTAAACATTCTTTCCCAGTGTGTATGTGTGTGTGTGTGTGATTGTGTTGCATTTTCACCTGCTTAATGGTGTCTTTTGAGAAGCAAATTTTTAGTTTCAGAAGTCCAATTTGTCCATTTTTTTAAATGGTTACTACTTTTTTTTATCCCAAGAAATCATTGCCTACAACAAAGTTGTGAAGAATTTCTGTTTTCTTCTAGATGTTTTATGATTTAGCTT